TATGTTTTAAATCTTGACCCTTTTGTTGCCACCTCTTATGCAAAAACATGCTGGATCCCTTCCTTCCTCACTTCCCAATGACCTTTTTGGCAAATCTCTGTGTCCACCTCTAACGCTCCATCTCCCCAGGCAGATAGTTTTGGGTAGACTGAATACACTTGATATTCAGAAAAAAGGCCTCCTGCAAAAGACATTTTTAAAAGTCCTGAAGTTGGGCACAAAAATTTTGAAACTCTTGGCAACAAATAAAGCATTTTTGTTGCACACAGTTGGGCAGAGATCAACCGTTCACTTTACTTGTACTATATAATAATCATCCAGTGATTACTTTTGCCTAGTAATAACTTGGCATTAAACACCACCAGCACCTTGGGAAATACTATCTGCTTTATCTACTTCTAATCCAACTAACCTCTCGCATATAATCAGTACTATTGCAGGGGCTCACTTCAAAACCTAACTTACTAGTCAGAGGAAAAAATGAGCAATAAGTGAAGTTTCTAACAAAACATAATACAACACTTTAGGAGACTGGTACATGTCTGTGGTATGAAATCCTACAAAAAACTCATTAAAAATATTTGAGGAAAAGCAGTCTCAGTGTGAGACCATCTTATGGAATCTACAAGCCAATCCTCAAGTTAGCACTCTTTTATTATGATTTATTTGAATGATTTAATTGTTGCAATTTAACAACATAACAATCATGTTCCATAATCATGGCATCATAGCACATTTCCTGCACTGCAAAACTCTGTTTGCAGATGCAGTAGCCGTTTTGCAAGTCATATTATAGAAAAAAGTTCTTTTATACTTAGTTGTACTTACATGTTTCTCCTTCCCTCAAGTTATTCATTTGGAAAATCTACGGTTGCTGGGCTTTTTTTACTTTCTCTGGGGTAAAGAGTGATATGATCAGGACATCTATTTTTATTTCTTAGAGATAGCACTATTTCCTATCTCTAGGCACTGTGCCCACCTAATCAGAACCTTATTCCTGTCTTTTGAGTCCTCTGAATCTTGTCTAAACAACTTTAAACAAATGTTAATTTTGTTCATTAGTTACCATGAGGTAACACAAAAACAAATATTTCCCTAAATGTTTTGTCTTTCAGACACCAAATTTATTCAGGAGGATTTGCAAGAGGTAATTAGGGTACCAAGCTGAATGGTACCAAACTTTGAGGTGACACTGTGAGAAGTGACTCAAGGTACAGATCAAAAGAAAAAGAATACACTAATCTCTCAGATCTTCCTCTTTTTTCTTTACCAGTTCTAAACAGAAATTTTAAGAAAGGTCAAACAAAACTGATTTGCACAGAATTTGCTAATTAAGAGAAGACCCTGTACAAACTCATTTGAATAAACAGATAAAGACTGGAAAAAAAATATAACGCAAACATATTGGCTGGCATGCTCCCATGAGCAAAGCATTGCTATTCTTACAGCATCCTGTAATACCTTGTGGCATCGTGATTGTCGTAGCTTAAGTACCACCAACAAATGAGCATGTTAAATCACTTATTTTCATTCATTGTGGCTTAGAATAAATTTGTCCTGCATATCAAGAAACATGTAGGATGCTATCCATGAGAAAAAAAGAGCTCTATGCAAAATTCATTTGATCTTGTTGAAAACTAGAAACTTAAATGAGGTATGTCAGAAAATTAACAAGCCATTTCTAGCCATCTGGATCAAATCTGAAGTAAAGATAGAACTATTTTTATATAAAGCTTAGCTGAATTATGGATTTCAATAGCGTTCAGATAAAAATAGGTACTCCATACACCTACTGATTGAGTTTCATTCCGTTCCACAGCCAAGAGTTATGCTTTAGTGGATAAGAATTAATGATGGAAAGCAAGCAAAACACTTCTATATAATTGAGAAGAAATCCATAGGAGATTCCTTTTTCTCTTTCCTACACTAAATGCTGACAGGTCACAAATATTTTTAAACTAACAAATCAATATTTCAATTCCCGTTTCTTTAGTATTTCACCCTCTTTCTACTAAATACAAGGAAATTATTATGGGAAAAAGCTATAACTAAATAGAGGTAATGTAAAAATTTACTGTAGAAGACTTTTTTCGTCACTTAAATTTGATCATACTATTAGTTCTGATGTGTTAATAGTCTAAAGATATACAGAGGGAATGTTTCATATTCATTTTCTATCAAGAAAAATCTACACATAATTTCAGTATCAGGAAATTCAGAAGATCAACCAAGGAAAAGAGATGGGTAGATGAGAAGAGAGCAGAGGATGCTGTCTGCCTTGATGTCAGGAAGGCTTTTGACACTGTCTCCCATCACATCCTCCTAGGTAAGCTCAGGAAGTGTGGGCTAGATGAGTGGACAGTGAGGTGGATTGAGAACTGGCTGGATGGCAGAGCTCAGAGGGTTGTGGTGAATGGCGCAGAGTCAAGTTGGAGGCCTGTAGTTAGCGGTGTCCCCCAGGGGTCAAGTCCTGGGTCCAGTCTTGTGCAACATATTCATCGATGAACTGGATGAAGGGACAGAGTGCACCCTCAGCAAGTTTGCTGATGATACAGAACTGGGAGGAGCGGCTGATACCCCAGAGGGCTGTGCTGCCTTTCAGAGGGACCTGGACAGGCTGGAGAGTTGGGCAGAGAGGAACCTCACGAAGTTCAACAAAGGCAAGTGCAGGGTCCTGCACCTAGGCAGGAATAACCCCATGCAGCAGTACAGGCTGGGGGCTGACCTGCTGGAAAGCAGCTCTATAGAGAAGGACCTGGGAGTGCTGGTGGACAAGTTAAGCATGAGGCAGCAATGTGCCCTTGTGGCCAAGAAGGCCAACGGTGTCCTGGGGTGCATTAGGCAGAGTGTTGCCAGCAGGTCAAGAGAGGTGATCCTTACCCTCTACTCAGGCCTGGTGAGGCCACATCTAGACTACTGGGTCCAGTTCTGGGCTCTCCAATACAAGAGAGACATGGAGCTACTGGAGCGAGTGCAGCAAAGGGCTACTAAGATGACTAGGGGACTGGAGCGATTCTCCTAAGATAAGAGGCTGAGAGAGCTGGGCCTGTTCAGCCTGGGAGAAGAGAAGGTTCAGGAGGGATCTAATCAATGTTTACAAATATCTGAAGGGAAAGTGTCAAGAGGATGAGGCCAGACTCTTCTCAGCGGTGCCCAGTGACAGGACGAGAGGCAACAGGCACAAAATGGAAAAACAAAGTTCAGTCTGAACATACAGAACAATTTTTTTTTTTTTTTTTTTAAACTGTGAGAGTGATTGAGCACTGGCACAGGTTGCCCAGAGAGGTTGTGGGGTCTCCATTCTTGGGGATATTCAAAAGCCATCTAGATAGGGTCCTGGGCAACCCGTTCTAGGTGCATAAGCAGGGGGGGTTGGACTAGATGACCCCTAAAGGTCTCTTCCAACCTCAACCATTTTGTGATTCTGTGAAAATGTTTAAAAAAAATAGACGGAAATAAAATAAAAGGCCTTAGGAAATCTGTATTACTGAAGATGAGCAAGATTATTAGTACAATTTTTATGAAGTATGCTTGGCATCACAGTCATCAAGGAAAAAGTGGTTTTTCACCTCATATAAGCTAGCACACAGTAAACAACTCAAGGTAAAATAAAATCCCAGCGACAAAGACAGCCGTAGAGAGGCAAGCAGGTCAAGGCAAGCTCTATGAAGGAGTAAGATAGTATCTGTTTTAGGTACCTAAATTAATAGCCTGGGCTGTATGGCACATACAGTCACTGGTGACTTCACAGAGCAACTGGGACCCTCTGGTTAGGAGCTTATTGACCAAGCTATGCACGTAGTTAGATGCCCCCGTGAGTGCAAGAAAGTTGCAAGTTATCCTGTCTTCAGTAAGATTACCTGCTTTTACCATACGTTAACTACTACAAGGCAAAAACAAAACTTTACTCCAAAGAAAGACACATGAGAAGAGTTTTAACTGTAAAACATTAAATGTAAAGCTAGATTAAAAGAAAAACAATCTTGAAGGGAAGTAAATAACAAAGAAAATGTAGGGAACTGGAAAATTTGAAGGAAATAACTGTCACCAAAAGAAGCCACTGCTGATGGTAATTAAATGATTACACTGACAACTCTCAAGCAGTATCTTTGCTAAGTAACAACTCAAAAAATGAGAGAACATGGCACTTCTGCATTTGGGTTTCTCTCTATAGTAGATCTACACTTAGAATTTGGCCCAGTGTTTCTGCATCAAAATGCTTTTAATTTTACACTTATTAGCATGACAAGCTGCTGAACAACAATTTGTGGCAGCTTATACTTCATTATAAGATATATAGCATTTCAAGAAGATTACAATAAATGCTGTTATTACAATGACTTTGGTTTCACGCCATAATTACAATAAACCATCTGCCCAGAAATTTCTATTAAGTCTATTGTTCATGTGCATAATATTGATTTAAATGCATTCTTTATTTCCCATACACTTAAAAATAACGTATTAGCCTATTTTCATTCCACCCCTTCCACAAAGATGCTTAAAGTTTAATTGTCCAATGAAACATACAGTGTGTTTCTAGGATTTAATATTTACAAAGACAAACCTAGAGGAGTAGAAGTGGTGCAAATAAATATTCTTACAAGATCAGATTTCCTACAGTATTTTAATATAAAGCTTGTACAAGCTTAGGCTTCTTTCCAAAGTATTTCATGATATAATATTTGACAAAGAAAAACATTCAACATTGGGAGGTGTTTACCAAAAGCCTTACAGTTAATCAAAGTGAAATATAAAAAATACCTTTCATTGTCTGAAGTTGTCAGTATCCAGATTTTAAATTAGATAATGCCACTTATGTAAGTATTTAGTGCCTCTTGTCTGCTTTGAATGAACAAAATTCCAAAACATGGCCCCGCTATCACATCTGGATTTTTGAGCACTACTTAACGAGAATTATTTCTGTGTTTCTCTAAACGTTGGGTAAACCATCGACTGTCACCTAGAGCTAGTAAACAGAAAACTAGCATGTTACTCACCAATAAAGTAGTTGTTTCCTAATGCAAGCATTTCTTCAGAAAGAACAAGTCCACCCAGTGCCTGGAGGAGGGTTACACTTCTGCCATCTATAAGTGAACACTGTTTAAATCCAGTTGTCGTCACTTTCCATAGCAGGATAAGAGAAGCTGTAGCATCTTGCCTTATACTACGGAAAAAAAAATTATAAAAATAGTTACATTCAGGGAAATCAGCATTAGCAGAAAGCACATCACTGCAGAACAAAAGCTAATCAACAGAGAAGGAAAACTTAAATATAGCAAGCATGGAATCTAGCAAAGGCTGGATGCAAATAAAAAAAAATTTGATTTTCCAACTTAAAAAAAAAAAGGTTTTTTTCCCCCCAAGTACTATCCATGGAAGTAGAGCCACTTGCATAACGTCTTCTGTTTTCAACATTTCCACAAAATTAAAAAAAAGCCTCACTATTAATATTTACATAACGGTATATGTAAAAGCAGATATAAGCATACACTCTCTCAATTTCTAATTCTTGAGGGACAACATCTTAATGGCCAGTAACAGTTTTATATAAACATTACATAACGCTAAAGCGGCCTTCTTGGCTGTTTTTATTAAAGCCTTTTCACCTCGTACCTCCCTTCTACAACTACCATGCTGTCATTTTCTGTAGCTGAAATATATCTAGCCCTCTTGTTCACTGAAGTAATTATATTCAACACTTGGAGACTGATGCTGGCAGAAATCGTCATTGTTTGATATACTGGATCAAACATTCGGAATAGTTCATTCTTGTAAATTAAATGAGTCACGTAATGCTCCCAAGGTCACTGAGTCTGTGGCGACTTCCTGCATATAGATGGACTGGATAAAATACATTATCTACAACTGCATATATATTCTCAGTCCTACATGAGGAAAGTTTTTTTTAGCAAGTACTGTATCTATATCAGTGTTTCTTTCCTCGCAGAATACTTTTTCAACTCACCTCCATACAGAAAAAATAAAAACTTGTCCTGCATCTGGCCAGTTCCCAAATATTTGCATTAGTTCCTTCTGAATGAATTCGAAATGAGTTGGAACAATCCTTCAAAAATTCAAACACAACTGCATCTAAATGCTGAAAGCTGCTAATTCTCTTGCTAAAAACAGGCCTCCAAATACAAAGAGACGAGGCTCTGTTCCACAATTTCACGTATTGAATTTTTTTCAGTCTTCCTAAAAAGACAGAGCAGTCTCTTTCTCGCCATTTCACGTTTGTGTTCAAAACAAAAAACACAAAATTTTCTGATCATATTTGACCTGAGTTGAGAAAATGCTGAGACTAAACCAGCTAAGAAGGAAATTTTTGACAATATTTTGGGTTCTGCTTAAAAATGATCCCCATCCCCAGAGCTGACCAATTCGCTTTTAATAAAAACTTCTGTTAATAAGAGCATGATAGGAATCAGTTTCACAGTTTAGGTCACATCTGACAATCAAACAAAAGAAAATCATTAATTCGAAATTATTGTGCTTACATAGGTACACAGCGATTGAACTAGAGATGTTATAGAGGCCTTTAATACAGGACTTGCAATGAAATGAAGAAAGATACTGCAAGTGACTGGGAAACTGAGCTGTTTCAGCTGGAAAACAGTTTAAGCACATAACCATCATAACATAAAAAACAGAAGTGGCATTCCAACCAGCTCTATCCAGATTAACTGTCAAAATAAAATACTACTGAAGACAATACAGTGTAAAAAAAAAAAAAAAAAGATCAAAAATGACTGTGTGTACTCTGCAAACTACTTTTAAATAGTGCCCTCCATCAAGGGCTTTAACTACAGCTGTAGAAACTACCAACTTCAATGTATTCTTGATTTTTATCTGCTTACAAAGTCCAGCCAGACAGTGGACCATGCTCACAGACCCCATCCTTACTGAGCTTAAAAGGCTCATCAATGAGTGTGATTCAAAGTTCTGCAGGAAGAGTAGGACAGCTCCCACTTTTAACAGCTCCTGCTCCAATCTGTCTGCAGTTTGTCTCCTTGTATCAGTTTGTTTTTCCTCCGAGCATGGCCTTTTATAACAGAAAGCTGGGATTCTGGCAGATAAGATGACAGTATGAGAAAAGTAGGCTAGCTGGGGAAAATCTAACTCTAAAATAGCTGTAAAGTTGTGAGCCAGAGAAGAGCCACGTTGGTAGGTTTTTATTTGAAAAAATTTCCAGTAACAGATTTCTTCATCCCAGTTGATGATATCAGATCTTTGAAGAAGTTACACTCAGTTAATTAGAAGTTATAAAGCAAGTATTTGATAGAAAAAGTGAGTAAAAGAATTAATTTAAATTATTCAAAAAGGCGGTTTGTACAATATAGACATCAAAGATTGATGTAGATTGTTGATAACACTCAAAGCAATAATCCAAAAAAAAAACCAAATACAAATATAAATAAATATATTTATTTCTATAATCAATGAGAACTACTTTCCACCAGCAAGCACGGCTTGCAGATTAAAGAAAAAAGACAAGCATCCACTGCATGAAGGAGAAAAAAAGTCACACTTTCTCAAGTCAAACTGACATCTTCAATATGCCTTTCCTAATTCCTAATGTATACTGATGGCTCAGAGACAGTTTACATGCTTACATCTTCTAAAACACGAAAATATAAGAGGAAAGTTATACCATGCAAAGAGCTGTGCTGGTGCTGCTAGATGCCTGAAGGCTGTCTGAAGTTCCTTCACATGCTTTAAGTCATTTGACAAATCTGCCTCTCTGAAAGACAGTTGTCTAAAATATCCAGGCAAGTAGTATTTTTTTATTCCATCACATATGACAAATACTCTTATTTTTTTGATGTATTCTGTGGAAAAAATATATATTTAACACTAAATCACAAAACATCACTACAGAAAACATGTTTGTTTGTTTGTTTGTTTTTTAAAAAACACTACAGTGGTAATCCAACAGTGATTATCTAAAAATTACCAGGATAATTTCCTGGAAGAGTTCAGAAACTTTCAAAATTAATTTCAGAAATACTCTCCCACCTGCTCTAACAAGATCCACTATGAGAAGAACTACTGAATGGACAATCAGTGCTTTTAGATAGGAAAAAAATTAAGAGCACAGTTCAGAGTGAAAGGATGTTTTTGCCAAATCTCCAATGCCTGCTAGGCATGGAAATCAAGTGATTTCATCAACCAGATCAGGACACCATACAGGATGTTGTAAAACACAAAGAGAAATCATAGACAGACTCCTTAATTATCCATATCTTGTAGAGTGATTATTTCACAAAGGCAGGTTGAGGGCCATTACTATTTCCAATTTTACTTTTATTCCAGATATGTAATGTCCTATATGGCACAATTGGGTCTTTCTCTCATCTCCATCAACACCATCAGTAGTTTTAGTTAAGTAGTTTTCAGGTATCTTCATCAGCTTGACTATGAAATATCACACTGCAGTGCAAAAAGTGCATCAATTTCTCTTAAAATTCCTAAACAGGTTTTGCAATCTTATTTTGTCAGTCATCTGGAATATGTTATTATGTTAGCCTTACTGGCAAAGTGAGACTGCAACCTGACACACTTCCATGAATTAATCTTCCATCAAAGGAACAGCCAGAATCAAATTTGTAAGTGAAAGAATAATTCAAATTCATATTTTAAACACTAATATAAAATACCTGTGAAAACATGGAAAAGAAAAGTCCAGAATATTATTTAAGTAATAAATATTTAATGATTCAGAGGTGATTTTGATTCAGGCAAGGCAAATGCTCAATATTCACACTTCCTAAAAATGCATGGATTGCTCAGGTCATTTCTTCATTGTTGAATTGCCTGGTAGATATAAAATGAATATATATAATTTACAAAAACAAAATGAGACATAATGTTGTTGAATTTGCTTAAAGAAATTTGGAAAGATGATAACATAGCCACTACTATTTCTGAAACTTGGATTTCAAAATTACAGAGCTAACCTTCAAAGCATGATGAAACTAAAATGAATTTGGCTAACGTTCTTCCTTTTACATATGCAAATGGTCAAACTGCTGAAACTTTCATTTACTGTAAGAATCTGTGTGCCTACTGGGAAAAAAAGAAATAGTATCTCTGCTCCCATACAGTTATACCTCAGCTAAAAAGAGACTCAGAGTTGTTGTATAGTTTTACAATTTCATGCATCTATTAACTTGGAAAACAACAAAAAAAAACAGAATGTAATTTCAGCATTTCATTTACCTCTCCATTAGAAATTTGTAAAGTATACAGATATCTGACACTAGAATAAAAAACAACAAAAATTAAAGAAGCAAGAACTGAACAAAATGGCTGCGTAATGGACAGCTGAGACCCAACTCTTAAAATGGAAACAAAAAAAAACAACCAAACAAGAAGTATTTGGTTTGCAAACACATAAGAGTAAGAATTATTCAGCAAGGATAGCATACATATGAAATATTTCAATAGTAATCAGAAGAGCTAAGGGCAACATGCAGGGTTTTGACACTTCCACCAGGAGAGAAAGATGTCAAACATTATAGATCTAACTAGTAACTGTTTGCAATTGGCCCTGGTTTTCATGCTCTACAAATCTGATAAAATAATCGTCTAAACTAGTAGGACACTGAAAAACAGGATTTTGTAAGAGCTGAAAATTGACTTTTTTCCATTAGAAAAATCTGATACTTGGAAGAAGCAGCAGCACTGATAAGGAACAAAAAATGGTGCCAACAGCATCCTATTTCAGATAAATACTACTAGGGAGAAAAAAAGGCCGCTTAGACACCTGAATTATGAAATAATTTACACAGCGTTTCCCCACAGCAGTGGGAGATTTGTACACATTCCTAAGCGTGTCTCTGTCCTGTCTTAACAGGACTCCCTGCCAAGCCGAAAGATCTAAGAACGAGGGCAAAGACAATCAACATGTTACACTACGAAAAGAAACTCAGAAGATGAAAACAGTCTGAGTCTCACTCAAAAAAAAAAAAAAGAAAACTAGTAGGAGATATTTAAAACTGAGTTCACTGGAAAGGAAATTGTTTTCAGAAGGTTAAACAAAGAGCACATGATAACCACTGCCTTCCTATACTAATTCCTCTTCAAAATTTATGAAAGCAAGATTTCTGCAGTCCAAAATACGAACAGACCATTATAAATCATTTAAAGATAATCTTTAAAAAGCCATTACATATAGACCCAATGATATCAAGCTCTTCCAAAAATTCCCCTGAAGCATTCAATAGTACAGAACCTTTACCCCAGCAAGGAAGCCCCTTGAGAAACAGACCTAGAGATACAACAGCAGTGAGGCAGCTATTTTAAAAATAGTCACCAAAGAAAACAAAATCTTCACAAGCCAGTCAGAGCCTGAAGTATGCCTAGGAGCTGCTTACCAAGGTAAGTTCCTATATCAATACAGAAATAACCTCTTCAATATATTATGCATTTTAAAATGTTTAAATACCAAATTGCCAATACCAGGACACATGGCATTCCTCTTTATACCAGTGAATCAGGATAAATGCATCCCATAAGTTTTTATCTAAATATTCTTGCTTTTTAAAAGAAAGCATAATATAAACAAAACCGCATTTCTGTCTCAAAGATTTTAATAGCGTTAACTTTTTCAGTCTTTATCTGGGCAAAAAAAAAAAAAAAACATCATCTGAGAAAGCAAGAGTGAAGTCCCCAGAAAGAGATATATTCCTAGAGTCCCTATAGGTACCTTAAAAAGACAGCAATGACA